CCCCAAAACCCAAGCTTATTTCTCCGCAGATCTGAATTGAATGTGGTAGGGATTCAGTAGATTATTCTAAACAAGCCAAGGATAGGCCAATCCATGTGAGGAGAAAACATTTTAACAGGTGGACCGGTGGTGTATGGGTGAGAGCGTGGGTTTAGAGAGTACATGTATTATTGTTCATTAAAATATTAGTTATTTGGCAGCATAAATGTTTAAATCTCTAATCAACTGTTATGTGTGATTTAATAATAAGATTATTTATACTTTTAACTACATATTTAAAGTTTAATTTTTAGTCTCTACATATCAAAAATGAAAATAAATGTTTGAAATTTTTTACATTGACTTCAAGTTTAGATTTTTAAATTAATAAATATCAATTCAGTTAAATTCTTATTGGTAATATACCCAACTTAATTACTAACAAAAAAATATAATATAAGTACTATTTAATTTAATTGTTAAAGTTGAAAATTTTTAAATGAGTCAAGTATAACAAAATTTAACTTAATGTGAGTTTAATATAAATTTATTGAATTCAAATTTAGTTGATTTTTCTTTGTATGGATCACTCGGTATCCGAAAGCTCAGTGGACCACCGACTAATTTGGATTCGAGTCGGACATGACCCAACGGGTGGTAAAACTCTCTCTCACAAGTTTTAACGGAATTGCATTTCTATAACTCAAAACCAAGACCTCTGGTTAAATTAGAAGAATTCCCTATCAACTCATCCATCCGCTCATAGGTTCAAATTTAACTGATAGTTGAAACATAATATAATTTGAGCTCACTTAAATTCGATCAAGGTGACTCAAGTTTTAGCTCATTACTCGAGTTAATTTCATGCATCCACATTTCTTTTTGCTTGGATTCTATGGATAAATAAAGATAAAAAGAAAGTTATTAAAATAGGTAAATATAATAATACTCCTCTTTTTTATGCAGTTATGAATTACTAACCTAACTAGTACGCCTTTCTTCTCCACAAAAACACATGACACTTGACCTAACACCCACACCTTTTTTTCTACACAAAACAACAATTACAATGACAAGCCTTTTCCTTTCTGTCACTCGCTTTCAAACCTTTATGAAAGGAGTGGTGGAAAAGCAGACTCTGTCGAGTCAATTTCACCATTTCCTCTTCTTTCATCAATTGAACAAGTTTTACTTTTCTTTTGTACCAACTTTTTTCCTACATTGAAAACAATACAAAACATGGGGGTAAAACAGGGTGGATATGGGTGAGATTTCCCTTTTTCTCTATGGCTTATCACAATTCTGCCTCATATGGCAACATGAACATCAAAACTCTGTATCTGTACTGTATAGATCTATCATCCATGACAGCACAACTTGAGGGCATGCAAACAAATTCATTTTTCTGGTCGAATTAATGTTTTGGATAGAATTGATATTCAAAGTTTAAAAGTGAAACCCTAAAAAAGTTTCATTATAATTTGGGTGCAAAAAAAGTAGAGCTACACGCGAGCTGCTTGATGAAACTTCCCAGCCTTGATATTCAAAATTAAATTTAACAAAATTTTTTGGGTCAAATTTTAACAATTACTTAATACATAGAATTTCATAACAAAGTTTAAAATTTAAATTTAAATTTTACGTAATTTGACTAAAATTAAGACAAGAAGACTTAATTTAGTTCAACGAGAGTTGAATCAAAATTTTTTATTCCTAAGAATTTAGATATGTTAGATTTGATGTTCATAACCGAATCCCATTTTTTATGAGTATTTTAATTCGAATACCCAAATATTTTGAATATTTCGAGATTTTTCAAATGTCCAAAATTCTCCCATGTTCAATTTTTTCATTTTTCAATTCCTTCACATCATATATCCAAAGAGAAATTTCTACATACTCTCTTAAAATTTTATACAGAAAGAATCGTATTTTATTTAAACATATTATTATAATTCCATTCCCATAATTTTTTTTTTTTTTGATAGGGAGAATGATTAAAAGTTAAAAATTAAAAAATAAATTAATTTTTTATTTTTGATAAAATTCAACCATTAATCAAGGATGCAATCCACCAATATAGATAACCTCCAATAATCTTATTGGATAACCATCAATAAACCTAAACAGTAAAATACCCATTCCCATAACCTGGCAAAGCAAATTGAGTGTAGTCAACATTTGACTTCAATCATGAAAACCTGACGTAAACCTAAATAATTAATAAGGAGGGAATTCAAGCACTGTTGCAGCAATATAAAGATGGTGTGCACCCGGTTCTTTCTTTTGACTTTGACCATTCCTTCGAATTTTGGCTATAGATAAGAGTCTGCACATTTAATTATATTAAATTATAAAATATTAATAATTAAAAATATAATTTAATTTAATATAATTTAGATATTATAAGATTTTCCTCTTATATACAAAGTTTTTTCATTCTTCAAAATTTATTTGGTTGTTTTAATTTGTATTCTTAAAAAAATCAATTATTTAATAAAGAAAAAAATTATTATAATTTTATACTCCATATAAAAAAACTCTACTTCTTTTAAAAATTTATTTAATTTGTATATTAAAAGTATAAGTTAATAATGTAATAAATATATATTTTTAATTAATTTATGTAAAAAGTTATAAAAATTAATATTTATTTCAATAATATTAAAATATAAATAATTTTAATTAATTAATTAATTTAAAATTAACCACTTATTTTTTTATATAAATTAATTATAAAAAAACATATTAATTACACCCCTAAAAGGCTAAAGCCCCTCTTTAATACAGGTACGGGTGGTATTACTAATATTTCTTCAACAAATAATTGGATTTACTAGAAAATTAATTTGAAACGACATATTCTCTCCTCCTATCCGACTTGTCACGCCAAAAAGGAACCAAAAGATTTTCGTGCTGTTGGATGAAAACACGTGACCTTCAAAATCCACGTGGTATCACTTCATAAGCCGGACATGCATCCACGTGCCACAGCATATGTGAATTGGTGACTCATACCACTTGCTTATGTTGAGCTGTCCATTACCTGATTTCCGACACTACAGGTGGCAAAGGAATGACGGCTAAGCCTTTTGCAATTAATTTTTTTAAAAAAAAGTGCGAAAAAGGAGAAAATGAATATTAAAAATGAAAAACCCCCTTTTTTTATTTTTTTCTGTGACTGCTCAACACGCTCTGAGTCCATTGAGGGGGGGGTCCTGTCCACCTCACGGTCACATCCTTGTCACGTGGCTTGCCCTCGGAAGGGCGGCACCGCCCTCCGGTGGATTTGTTGGACGCCGAGGACGACCTTTTGTGGATTTTCCAATATTAGTTCTTCTTCTTCTTCTTCTTTGTTTCTATTAATAAAGTTTTTTTGTTACATATTTTCCATGATTCTTGTCTAAAATTTCTAAGATATTTCTCATTTTTTACTATCCTGTAACATTTTCACAATTTGAAGGCCATAAATATAAGGTGGCCGAAAAGAGGATATAGATGGAGTAGATCACAGCTTCTTATTATTATTCTTATTATTATTATTAGATCATAGCTTTTTTATATAATTGATCTATTACCTAAGTGATATAAAGTAGTTTTTTTAAAAAATTTTATTCTCTCTTAATAATGAATATTTTTTATTTTATTTTTAAATTAAAAATTTAACAGTAATTTTTATTTTTTTATTTTACTTATTTAAAATATAAAAAATTATTATTTTTGAAATAAATTTTAAATAAAAATACTAATTATTCTAAGACAAAAAAAAACTATATAATATAACTCCTTCATGTAACCCACTGGTTAGATCATACTCCTCTATGAGGAGTAAGTGAAATTCACCCAAGTTCGAGTTTCTCTTTTTATTAGATAGATATTAACTTCTAATCGTTGTATTTTTGTAAAAAAAAAAATCATATAATAAAAAATAATTTTTCATCTCTTTAATTATATACTTTAATTCCAAGTATTCAGTTTAAATTTAAAATTTTTTACCTCATTTAAAAGAGAAATTATCACAAAATCATTTACCATAAATCAATAATGGTTTTGACATAAAATATTCTTTTAAGAGATAACTTTCTCTTTTTTAAAACCTTTTCACATTCTATGTAGAATTCAAAACTAAAATTTTTAATTTACAATTTTTATTTTTAATAAGTTGAGTCACCTAATATAATATAGTTGATAATAATTTAATATGTTATTAATTTTTAATTATTATTTTTGTGAATATAAATGGAAAGTAAGTTCAAATCATTGTGGAATTTTTTTATATATTGTGCGGAGAAGGAAAAGATGACACGTGGAATGAAGAGCTGGACCAAGTAGTGACAGCTCCGTATATCGTGAGGAACCACCAAAAACCTTCTTTTGGGCGCAACTTTCCCACTCCACGACGAACCTCCGCCACTCATCCAATCCACAAACCAATCCCTCTTCATTTACCACTTTGCCCTTCGTTCCACATGAAAATTGCTCTGCAAATGATGCATGTGTCATGCTAAAGCTTCATTTACATGTAAGGATAAGTTACCATATATATAATAGAGGATGAGCCCCACATTTCTCTATACTCATCCTTTATTTATCTTAAAATTCAAATTAAAATCTTTAAATCAAAGTTTTAATTTTTTATTAATTGAAGCACTTTTTGATATATCTCAATTTGAACATATGCATGTTTCACTTTTTATTTTGACATGAAAGATTTTGGTTAAAATATGTATTTAGTCATTTATCTTAATAAATTTAAATTTTTAATCCACTCACCTTATATTATGAAATTTTTATTCCTTAAATTTAAAAGTTAAAGATTTTAACCTCCTAAACTTATAAAATCAGTTAACTTTGTGTTAAAATGAGAATAAAATATTTATAAAATCAATTTTCAAAAATTAAAAATATAATAATACAATTCAAAATTTTAAAAATTTAAAAAAAGTTAATAAATTAAAAATAATTAGTAGATGACTTTATTACATATATGAGAATAATATTAAATATTTACATTCAAATCAAATGATTAGTTTAATTTAAAAAAAGAAATCTAATTGATATTAAAAAAAATTTCTTCCTGTATTCTTCTAATCTTTTAGACTTTCTATTTTAACTCAACAAAGAATTTTTTTTTTAAATTTCAGTTAGAATTCTTTTTTCAAATTAAACTAATCGTTCAATTTATTGTTGATATCTAAAACTATTTTAATGTATGTGAGAAAATCATCTATTAATTCTTTTTAGTTTACTTTTTTTTTAATTTCTAAACTTTTGAAACTAAATTATTACATTTTTAATCTTTAAATACTGATATTATAAATATTTTATTCTTACTTCAACGAACAGTTAATATATTTCATTAATTTAAAGACTAAAATCTTCAAAATTTTAAGTTTAAGGACTAAATATAAAATGAGTAGTTAAAAACTTCAGATAAACGCATAGTTTAACCAAAAGTTTCCATCCTAACATATAACATGCAGGTACAATGTTCTTCTAATTGGCTAATTTTTGAAATTAAGAGGCTATTTGATATAATATTTGAAATTAACAATTAGCAATTCTGTCTCATTTGATGATTAATAATTGTTATTATTAATAATTCATATACTTTTATTTATTGAATTAAATAAAATTACTCATCATCAATTTTAAATTGTTATACCAAACACCCTCCAAGATTCTTGATAATTTGGTACCGAAATTAGTCAATTCCTTTCTTGATCATATCATGCTCTAAAAGTGAAGAAGGCAAAGCATGTTGTTATAGATCAAGGTTCAATTCCAAATCAAAACGGGTATATTGTATCTTAAACAAGAAGCTGGTAATCAACTTAAGTAATTGCTGAACTAATTAGAGGCATGCATGACATGCATGAATGTGGGTTTTCGATTGATGGAGTTGCTTCTTCATGTGAACTTGGGATCATTGCCATTATAAGAAAATCTTAGAATTGATCAACATCAACAAATTAAAGAAAGGATAATATATATGCCCATTCCAACTTGGCATACACTTCAGTTACAGACAAGTCTCAGGGCAAGCAGAAGAAGTTAACAGAGGCAATTAAGAGAGTGGTGACAACGGAATGGTCGGCCAGCATGCATCCCGCCACTCAAAACATAAATGCACCCACAACTCGGCCTTTTTTTAATGAAATTAGAATATATCTTCCTAGACACAAGTTTTACAAAAAAAAAAAAAAAAAAAATTATAATAATTGATTTTTTACTATTGATGGTTGAAAATTATAACGTATTTTCAGATAAAAATTAATTAATTTTAAAAAAATAAGACAAAAAATTAATAAATTTTAATCATTCATAATAAAAACATAAATTATTATATTTTTGTGTAAAATTTATATATAAATTGATTTAAATTCTTTTTAATGTTCTATATATTCTCATTTTTCATGGTCCCAATCCCTAGAGTAATTTTCTAATTTCTCATTAATAATATTTTGCATACAAATTTAAGCAATAATGTAAGAATACAACAAATTCAAATATCTTTACCAGTCTAGTGATGAGATGAGAGACTGCAATTTTGAGAAGTTTCCACTCAAATTCGTGCGTCTATATCGCAATAACAGCTAAAAGACGCTGACAATAAACACATTTCCAATTCAAAAAAGGAAGCTGCAGCAGCTGAGGCTGCTTATGCATGATTTGAGCAAAATTCCAAAACTTATATTTGGGTTCCCTGTTGAGGAGGGAACATAAGATTGAACCACGGCCTCACGTTACGAGCGTGCCAGGCGTTCGATCCGATAAACCAAGACTCTGAAAATTGTGCATATAGATGTAAATTTCAGGTGTGTTTATAATTGCTAT